CATGACCTCGCCCGCACAGGGGGGGGGGGGTTGATGCAACCCCCCTAAGGTTTTTCGCGAATAACTCGCTTAAAAAGCGGCTGATCGCGACGAAACTTTCAGTACCCTCGCATTGATCAATTTAACAACCACCCTGAAAATTTCATGACCCTGACCCAAATGACCTTTGACCTGTGACCTACTTTTCGAGACCATGTTTGGCCGGAACCGCGATTCAGCGTATGTCGGCTCGCATTAGCAGCGCGTTTGCAGTCTTTTCGTGGTTTCAAGCGTTCAAACATGTGATATGATGTTGCCCCCATGCATTAGGGTGGGTGTCAAGGTCACCTGAAGCCTTGAAGGTCAGGTCAGGTCATTGACCTTTGGTGACCTCGGTTCACTTTTTCGAGTTTGACATGTTTCTAGGCCAGTTTTTTCGAGCTGAATTCGAATTAAGCAACCACATGAACGTTTACAAAGTAGTTTTGGTGCCTTCGTAACATGTTACGAGGCTGTCAGAGGCGGTTGACACCTACTACAAATACCTGGCAGGACCTCTACTGGTTGACCTGACCTGACCTAACCCGACCTGGCCTAAGTGAATGAAGACATCATCTGTGATCAAAACTAGCATGATATTCGTGATCAGCACCCCGAAAAACCCCATAGCAGCCACACTACGACGTTCTAACAGGTCCCAATGTTCCCGCCTTTTGGGTCATTGACTGACCTGGAAGGTCAACCGATGACCTAGGACCTTAAAATTGGGTATCATCGGCTTTCTCTCGTCACGGGCAACACGCTCGTTTTTTCCGCGAAGCTCTAGCTTGATCAGGAGCGAAACGGCAAGGGGTTATACCTTATACGTTCGCGGCTGAGTATTAATTTGGTTCAAAACAATGATGTAGATAAGTTAGTTATTTAAATCTAAATATCCTATGACGAGAGCGATGGACATTTTTGGTATGCAGTGTTATCCATTGAAAACAGGTCAAAGCTATTGAGTTTTTAATTTAGTGGTCGCCGCTTACTAATCATGCGGCATACACGCCGCACATAACCGCCAATGCCGCAACGCAGCTTAGATTTCGAAGTAAGCATTTAGTCTCACCCGATCTGACTTGTAAGACGGCGGCCAGAGCCCAAAATGTGAACAAGCAAAAATACTAATAATTTTTACTTTGACCTGCCCTGTGACGTCATCGGTGACTTCGATGTCAATGAAATTAGGTTTCGCTCGACAGTTTTTCCGGGGATATCAGACGCCGTTTGAATTTTGACGATCGGCCCAGTAGTTTCGGAGTTAGGAGGGGGGCTATGGAGAGAGCCCCCCCCCCCCAGTAGGGCGTGTTATACGCAGACCCCAGTGGGGCGCGGGTTAAGAGGTGACCAGGAGTGCCCCCATCGTAAGCCCAGCGACTCACAGCACCTTACCTTAACACCAGACAAGAATAAAAAAGGATAAGTCGCGGCACTCCAAGCTAGGAAAAGAAGGACACATAAATCAAGCAAAAGAAGTGCAGGCAACAGGTTAATACCATCGCCGGGCAAGGGGGAGGGGCAGGTGCCACCCCCCCCCCCCCCCATAGTTTTTTTTTCGCGATAGCTCCGAACACGTTGGCGATAGAGAGCTGAAACTTGACATACCTGATCTTTGATTCAAGATGAATCTTTTGACATCAACCGCATTTTCGGGTCAGGTCAAGTCACTAACCTATGACGTCATAAGTGAACCTCTGCACGGTCTTCAGATATCGCAACTTCGCAACGCCCTCACTGCCAGAGGAGCTTTCACAGGGAAATGAAACTTGCAGAATCCAGTATTCATTACAGTCTCACAGCTTGTGTATCTTGGAATTTTGCTTAAGGTCATATGAGGTCAGGTCATTTTCGTGACCTCACCATTATAAGTCAATGGGGAAAAATGAAAACTGCTATTCTGGCGCCGGGAACGATCTCCAACTATCCCAAGTTGGCATGAATGCATGCTAGTTAAGCACTTGCATGCATGACTCACATGCAACAAGGACTCATTCCTGAAAAATAGCTTACTGAAACTTATGTCAATGTTTTAGAAAATAGCTTTTCATGTACAAGGCACAGTGGACCACCACAGGGTAAGATGGATCACAGTGGTCCGTCCTGTCCCAAATCTAAGTTCTCTCATTTTCATCAAGTATATGTTAAATAGCCCAACATTGCGAAACCTTGCCTGTCCTAAAGTGTGACTATAACATTGTTCTTCACAAATCACAGTTAAGTGCAAATAATAATTAATCGTACAAAAAGGCGCCTTAGACCTCTTATATTCGATCGGTTTGACCACAAACTCAATAGCTCAAAAGCCATGATTCCTGGCCACATGAGCCAGTAGCGGCGGAACACCCTCAATTAAGGAGGGGGGGGGGGGCACTGCCGACTTTTGGTCCCATTCTTTCCATGCATCGCCCATACGGCTAATGTTAAAATGCCAAAATCAAAGGGGGGCACGGTGCCCCGGTGCCCTTCTCGTTCCGCCGCCTATGACATGAGCTCAAGGTGGCCATTGGTACGAAGGAAAACAAAGGTAGTGCTTTCCTTCGCAGCAAATGGATAAAGCAGCATAAAGCAGATTAAGCTTCAAGCAGCAGATACCAGCAGCGGTTCAGCCGGGAAGGCAGGTGGTCCATTTTGCCCCGCTGGGCTGTCTTGCCCCACCTTCCCCTACTGCGGTGCTGGGTGCACCACCACTAACATGAAAGCGCTGATCAGTGCTGCCATCTAGCGAGGATGCGTCAAATCAATCCAGAGTACTGCGGTGCAGCCTACATGCAGGCGCCGATTAGTGCTGTCATCTAGCGAGGATGCGTCAAATCAATCCAGAGTACTGCGGTGCAGCCTACATGCAGGCGCCGATTAGTGCTGTCATCTAGCGAGGATGCGCCAAACCAATCCAGAGTACTGCGGTGCAGCCTACATGCAGGCGCGGATTAGTGCTGCCATCTAGCGAGAATGCGCCAAACCAATCCAGAGTACTGCGGTGCAGCCTACATGCAGGCGCGGATTAGTGCTGCCATCTAGCGAGAATGCGCCAAACCAATCCAGAGTACTGCGGTGCAGCCTACATGCAGGCGCCGACTTGCGCTGCCATCTAGCGAAGATGCGCTTAACGAATTCTACTGTGGTGGAACCTACCTGCAGGCCTGATAATTAATCAGCGCCTGCAAGTAGGGTTCTGGCAGCACTGGACATTGCGTTCATGCTGATTGTGGACTCAACCGCAATACCCTGCATTGGTTTAGTGTGGATGAAGTGGAGATGTTAGCTGGTATTCCACGGTTTGAGACATCCGGTAGGTACTACACCTTTTACACCACAAATCGGCGTCTGGTCATTCAATTTCGACACTTTGCATTGGATATCGACAGAGCTACCTACCTCCGATTACTCGAGAACAAATAGGCGCAACGAAATGCGCGATGCGGTAAACGAAAGAACGTGACGAGATGCTCCGAATGAGCACTTGAAAGTTGAATTTTGAGGTCACAGGTCGGGTCAAGGTCAGGTCAAACACCTGAAATTGGGCTATTAATAACATGGACTTTAAAAGGTCTTACTGGGCGTGTCTCGTCAGAAACTCTGTCAAGACTGTGCACTATCCCTTATAAGTGCTACACGAGTGTCAGATCCATAAAGGGGTCAGTCAAGCATAGGTCAGTGTCATGGTCAGGTCAATCCGGTAAGAACATATTTCCTAAAATCAAAATTGGTGTCCGCAGCATATGACACATGCTTTATAGGTACTTTTAGGCGTAGAAAACGATGGTGACATTCATTTAGTCATAGGAGTACAGGTTTGCTCCAAAAATATCGATTTAACCCGCACCGGGCCGGTGCTCGGCGCCAACCGTGCGGGCCGGGTGGTATCTAATCCCCCCTCCCCCTCCAACTCGGTTCCTGGGCCACGTACACGCAGTAGGCGGCGTTCGAAAGAACGTCAAAAATAATGACAAAAAATATTTCGGTCATTTTTTGGGTCAGGTCCAAGGTCAGCGGGAACTGATAGAGCTACAGCACCGCGGAAAAGCGCATTCGATAGCTCTTTTAATGGTCTGTCGCCAGCATATCCTCAGATTTGATCTCAGGCTAACGGTTTAACCTCCAGAGCACAAAAACTCCAAAAATGGGCGTTTTTATGACAAAGAGTTTTCTGCAATAACTTTTGGCTGAATGACGTGACGATGTTTATTTTACCAGCATCGTGTTCTTCTCGACGAGCCGAGTCGAATGAACTATATTTTGACCTTGAAAGGTCATTTTGAAAACTTGACCTCAGGTCAAGATCCCGAACTGACCGCAAAGGTCATGCTGCACATCAGCCGATCCGTATCGTCGAGCTGAACACTCTGAGGTGTTTTCATCGCTCTAGCATGTCTCTATCAAAAGTTATTGTCGAAAAACTCCTGGGGACCTCTCATGAACTGATATGACCTCAGGGGCAGAAGGAGAGGTCATGGGTTCATTTTTGGGTTCAGCTTTTCGAGTTTACCCGTAATTCGATGTTTGAGAGTGTTTGGAATGACGTTCGTCCAAAAATGGCGCGCCGGTTAGAACGACCCCTCCCCCCTCCCCTGCCAGGTCGCGTTATGAAAAATGTCCTGCCAGGAATAGGATTAAGACGAATAAAGATCGCCCTCCAGTGTCCCACTCACCACCGTGGATCCACCTCTCCAAAATGGCCAGAGATCGCCCTCCGGTGTCCCACTCACCACCATGGATCCACCTCTCCAAAATGGCCAGAGATCGCCCTCCAGAGTCCCACTCACCACCGTGGATCCACCTCTCCAAAATGGCCAGAGATCGCCCTCCGGTGTCCCACTCACCACCGTGGATCCACCTCTCCAAAATGGCCAGAGATCACAGTCGCCGGCGCACAATCATTCACTTGGCACTGGGACTGGGGGCGGCGGCGAGCACGGCGGCGCCATCCCGCCGGCGTTGCCGACCCACCTGGGCGAGCTGGGCCCCGGGCGGAGTCTCACCTCTGGGCCCGCGGTCAGCGGTCAGCGGTCAGCGATCAGCGGCCCGCGGTCAGCGGTCAGCGGTCGGGCCGCATTTCCGGTGGATGGCAGCAGCCGACACGGCTCCGTACTGCCTCACTGGCCGGCCGCTGGAGGCACGCCTTCTGGCCGCTCGTGCCGTATTCGATAGCGCGTATTGACTGGACCTCCGTGACGTCACGTTGCCAAGGTTACGCCGCGAAAATCGTTGGCTGACGCTGCGGCGCCTGCGCCGACGGAGAAGTGGCACTGGGGCAGCGGTGACCTGTGCACGGGATCCACGCTGCGGGACGGACAGACGGATGGGCATAACGTCAGGTGACGTCGTCCCAGCCAGGCAGCGTTTGTGGTGCCCGTCTGAACCGCCGAGCACATCCAGCCTGAAGTGAATGTCAATGCAATGAAGATAAAATTACCCCTCTGCCGGATGCAAAGCATTTACCAAATAGGTCAGAGCTTCGTGGCATTCATGGATTATTAGAGAGCTGTGTGAAGGCTGAGTGGCAGCACCGGGCCGGAGCACGTCCTCACACCTGCCGTGGTGAGGTGCCTCTGAGCTCAGCCGACGACCGGTCCCGCGTGACGGACACGCCACCAGTGCCGCCCCGCACCACCCGCACACCGGCAGCCGGTCCCCTGTGGGTACTGGGTGCGTTTAACCCTCGCCGGACCTATTGGTTCAACAGACGCGCCGGCCAAGGGGGCCAAGTTGGTACGACCGGCCAAGTTGGTATGACCCCCTCGCCATTTCGCACCTCATGGAGCTAGAGCGTCGCGGAAAAAATGAGCGCGTGCGCCGTTACGAGACGCAGCGACTGATACCTACCCGATTTCAAGGTCTCAGGTCAACCGGTTACCTCTGAGGTCAGGTCAAGTGGCCCAAGACACGGGTTTGGTTTTATAAACAACTTCGCCAATTACACTGAGAAAACAGTATCCCCATTTTCGGTCTCAGAGACCAGTTTTCGGGCTAATGTACCATATTCAAAACAGACAGCACATTTCGAGAATACTTTCTGAGCAACGCCACATGGGCTCATACGATCCCTTAAATCGGTATCATTGATCGCAGAAACAGAGCTCAGTCAGTACCCATTATCGGTGTCAAGCTTCAAAACTAGTCTCACTATGAAACCAGTTTTCAGCCCGATCCCCATTTTCGAGCTCACCTGAATCCAGTTTGAGGGCTCAAATTGTGTGGTGAAGCCAATATTAGGGCTCACGTCATCGCTTTTCGGGGCTTTGGTAAAAACTGGATTGCGTCAGCTGGCTGGCCAGCTGGCGACGCACGAAAGGTATTTAATTTTAGATATAAGCGCGGTAGTAGGATGGACATAAATATTTCAAATGGCTTTAAATGAAAAATTGATTGGTAAATATTTATTCTTTTATATCTAGCATTGATATGTAAGAAGCTCTGCTAGCGCCACCATACGGCGCCAGCTGGCAAAAAATCCAGTTAATACCAGAGCCCGCTTTTCGTCCGATGCAGCCCCTCCTCCCCCCTCCCCCGTGTCCAGCAGCTGCGAATAAGACGAAGCCGCGGACAAACTTTTTTTTTTTTGCTCGGCCAGCCTAGCGCCAGTCTCGAGCGGTGGGACAGCTAACCCGGCAATTTTGGCCGGGATGCAAAAGTTACGTTAAACCGGTTTATGTTAACCCGGGAGCAAATAACAACGTGGGAGCCTATCTTAGGTGTGGCAAAGCTAACGGATTAGTGATTACTTACTTGTTGCCGAGGTGCCCAAAGAAGGTACTGGAACCGAAAACACAACATTGGTTCATGTATTTATTAACATTCATACACACAGTCATACTTGTGCAAGGTGTCAGTGTTCGGTTGTGGGGTGTAATAGCCAGGGAAAAAGTTCTATGAACTGAAAAACCCGGCGCCTATTACTTCGCAACATGGTTGTGTATTCAACATGAACTGCAAGGAGTGCAGACGACATTGCCTGTGCTAACTTAACGTCTCACGGGCAGCGCCGCGCTCTGACACCTTGGTCCCAGGGTGCAGGGTCCCAGAAGCGGCGGCGTTTCTGACCGCAAATCGCCGGAGAGCCGGTCGACGCCGTTGAGGGGACTGAGCAGGCCGCTGCCAGCTCCACCTTCACGTCCGCGCGGCGCAGCTCGGTGTGCGGCGGCGGCTCATCGCGCGGGCCGCACCCGTCCGTGAAGACCGGTGCTGGAGACCGGCGATGGTGCCCGGTGATGGTGCCCGGGTGGTGAGCGGCGAGTGCTCCGGTTTGTTGACCGATTAAGGTGCACGGTGTGGTGACCGACGATGGCCGCGGTTTTATGACCGAAGATAACGTTTTTGATATTTTGTGTGTGTGCGTTTTAGTGATCTTGAAGATCAGAGGGGCGTGTGTCAGAAGTGGTATGATTATTGAAGTGCGTGAAATTATTCCACGCGGAAATAATTGTACGAGCAAATTTGTTTGGAGAATTTTGTGAATAAACGAGAGACTTTTGGGCGCTACTGGTGTTCGGTTGTTTAAATTCTATTACAAGCTATTTCGGCCTTATCTCGGTCTAGTTACGGTATTGTATAAATAAGGGAAAATTCGACAGGGAAGATAAAGAAAGCTAAAAATGGCGAAGAGGCGAGGCACGACAACGAACCAACGATCGATTCGATTTTGTCCAGTTTGGATACCGGTGCTGGAGTCCGGTGATGGTAACCGGCGATGGAGCCCGGTGATGGAGCCCGGTGGTGGAGCCCGGTGATGGAGCCCGGTGATGGAGCCCGGTGCTGGAGACCGCGGTTATGGAGCCCGGTGATGGTGACTGGTCGTGGAGCCCGGTGCTGGAGACCGGTGCTGGAGGAGCCCGGTGATGGAGCCCGGTGCTGGAGACCGGTAATGAAGACCGGTGCTGGAGACCGGCGATGGTGCCCGGTGATGGTGCCCGGGTGGTGAGCGGCGAGTGCTCCGGTTTGTTGACCGATTAAGGTGCACGGTGTGGTGACCGACGATGGCCGCGGTTTTATGACCGAAGATAACGTTTTTGATATTTTGTGTGTGTGCGTTTTAGTGATCTTGAAGATCAGAGGGGCGTGTGTCAGAAGTGGTATGATTATTGAAGTGCGTGAAATTATTCCACGCGGAAATAATTGTACGAGCAAATTTGTTTGGAGAATTTTGTGAATAAACGAGAGACTTTTGGGCGCTACTGGTGTTCGGTTGTTTAAATTCTATTACAGTCCGTCCGCTGCACGAGCCGCTTTTCGATCCGACAGCGCAACACCGGCACGCCATTGTGCTGGCTGAGCGGCGGCAGCGGCACGTAGGCAACAAAACAGTAGAAATCGATGGGCCTGGATCGGCGTTGCCAGCAACGCCGGCAGCGGCGCGGCGGGAGGCGCCAGTGCCGCCGTCGGGGACGTGTGCCCTTCGCTGCGCTCATTCGAGTTGGCCGGCCGGCCGCGCGGCGTAGTCCTTTTGACACGGTGCGAGAAGAGCCGGATGAAGGTGGACTTTTTATTGGCGTTGCTGGTGCTCACGCCGCCGGCGTCCAGTTTGGGCGGCAAGTCCGAGTACCAGGAGTCGGACAAGTCCCGCGCGAACGCCGCCAGCCGGTCGTCGTCACTGCTGGCGGCGGCCCGCCGACGGCGCTGCCTCAGAATCGGACGAGTCGGTGGTACTGAGCACCTCGCGGGACGGGTAGCTGGGAGTGGGCCGGCCGCGGCCCCTGCCAGGCCGCGCCACCTTCACCGGCGCAGCCGCCTTCAAACTGCCCTTGCTGGGCGGCGGGTTGGTCGGCGGAGGCGGCAGCGGTGCCTCGAGTCGCTGTCACTGGGCGGCCGCCGCGGAGACGGCTTCTGTTTGACCCGCAGCCGGCCTGGGCCGGCTCGGCGCCCTCGGCCGGCGGCGCGCGCCGTTTCGAGCGTTTCACCTTTTCACTGTTACTCTCGCCTGGTCCTCAGCGTCGAGCGGCTCGGCGCTGTTCGGTTTCATGTGGCCCATGCTGCTGGGAAACTCGGGTGGGGACAGCTTTCTGACTGGAGTGCCGTCGAAGATGGAGGAGACGGGGGTGCTCGCAGAGTCCTTGCCCAATGCCCATGATAGAGCCGAGGCTCCACTGGACGCCCAGCTTAATCGGGCTATCGCCGCCCTCCTTCTATTGTGGATTCTTCGGCCCCCTACAGCCACTAGGGCCATCATATACTCCCAGATGGCGGCACCTAGGCCCTAGGGGATGAGGGGGGGGGGTGTCTGGGCCACTTGTCCACCTCGTGGCGTCGCCAGCGACGCCTGCGAGTCGGAGCAAATGATTATGGGGTCTTCCTCGAAGGACGGGTGCTCCAGGAGATGTTGCTTTGCCGTCTTGAGCGCCACCATCTCAGATCGGTAAATGGAGCAAATCCTCCCCGCCGCCTCCCGCAGTACCAATGTTGTACTGTCTGGGTGCTCGGTGAGGACCCCAGCGCCGCCTTCCTATTACTCCCCCGGTCGCAGACCCGTCGACCCAGGCCCACGTCGCACGCTGGGGGAGCGCTCCCAGGCACGCCTCCGCAGCACTCCTCCTCGCTGTCGCGGACGCCCCGATCGGCAGCCGGTCCAGGTGGACCGTGACGCCGTCTGTTGGCGTCTACGGGGGCAGTCTCGTGGATAAGCGCGCCTCGGCGGGCAGCGCCACTCCAGTGGTCTCACACCGCTCCCCCGCGCTCTCTCCAGCCGGTCACTGACTTCAGTCACGGTTGGGGGGGGGGGCTTCCGCCACGACGCGGCGGGTCCTCCGACGGGAGGGAGAGCGCCTTCGCCAGTAGGCGCGATGCCAGCGCATCCCTCCTCATCTCTCCATCGGCACGACGCCCGTCTCGGCCCTCACGGCGAGTCTTGGAGCATGGAAATCGGGCAGCCAGTGATGACTCATGCCACCATCAGCATCTCCGCCTCCAGGATGCCAAGATGTGTGGCCGCAGCCGCAGGCAGCCACGCCGACCCCGCTGCCCGCATGCCTAAGTAGTCTCGAATCGCTGACACCTCTCCTGAAACAATAGTGGTGTCGTAAACTTAAACCCCTTGCTGGCGCCCGCCAGCCGCGACAACACCGCCACACCAATTTTTGTGACCCCGGAACTTCCGTCCCGAGCCTTATTTCACGGCACGAT